GGTCACTAGGTATGTGTCCTGAAAAGGCTCATTTTTCCCTAAGGCTCCTTCCCTTCTCTCTGCTTCTCAGGTACCATAAGCTGAGCAGCTTCCTCTACCCTGAATTTTTGCTCTGATGTTCTTCCTCATCTCTGGTCCATAACAATGGAGTTGGTTGACCATGGACTGAGACGACTGAAACTATGAACCCCAAATAAACTTTATCTCCTCTAAGTTGGTCTTGTATTTTTGTTACAACAACAAAAGTTGACTAATACAGAAATTGATATCAAGAAATGGGGTCATTGTCATGACTAATCCAATCACATGGTTCACATGTCTTTGGAACAGGTTTGCTGAAGGAGTTTGAAAAATTTGGAAATGTAGGCTGGAGAAGTCTTAGAACATTGTAGGAGATCTTAATGGGTGATTTTGGTGGGATCTCAGATCAATATGCTGTTAGGAATGTAGACAGTACAGATTGTGCATATTGAGGTTTCAGAGGAAAACTATAAGGCTTTCTTGGGAACTGGATTAGAGATCATTTGTGTTATATTATGGCAAAGAACTTGTCTGAGGCTTTCTATGAGACTGAATTTAAAGGTGATTGGCTGATTAAACTGGTGGAGACATTTCAAGACTGCACAGCATTCAGTAGATGGCATGGATATTGCAGATTTTCTTACAAGGTTGATTTTTTTTTTTTTTTTTTTTGGTTCACGTTTACTACAAGAATCAGGAGGGGATAGGAGAGCATAAGGATTTTAAAACTTGAAATTTGGCCAGAAAAGTGCATGTATAATTGGGACCAAGGAAGGTATGGTTATTAAGGATATTACAACCACTAAAGAGGGGTCAAGAGCATCTCAGAAACTAGCAAGACCGTATTCATTTCTTGCTCAAGGGTAAAGAAGAGAAAATTCATGTAAGAGACGTTGGGGGTACCCTGTTCTCATAGGGGTACTTAGAAAACTGTTTTCCTAGGATTCATTTTACCATGCTCAGCTTCCCAGGAGCTCAGAATCCACCGTAAATGTTTTCCAAGGGGACACCATTATTGTTTGAGCTGGCAGTAGACCTTGGGTTCCATCTGCATGGTGCTGACTCTGCAGAGATTCAGGATGCTGGAGTTCAGGTGTCAAGAAGGCTTCCACCAAGATTTCAAAGGAAGATCTGGGAGGCCAGACAAAGTATGGCAGGGTTGTAGTTCTTGTGGGTTGCTCCTGAGAGGATGATACATGAAGTTGTGAGGTCCAAGTCTAAGCTGGAATGGAGGACTGGCATTGTGGCTCAGTGGTAGAGCACTTGCCTTGCATATGTGAGGTCCTAGATTCAATCCTTAGTACCACATATAAATAAACAAAGGTATTTTGTCCACCTACAACTAATATATATATATATAAGCTGGAATGGAGAACTCCTGTATTAAGAGATACTAGTAACATTTAACTTCTGCTGAGGAAAGCTGCTGATTGTGCAAAATGCAAGCTTAAAAGAGTGGTCACATCAGCTGAAACCAGTAAGGTCATAAGGGCAGGGCTTTACAAGCCATTTGGAGATCATATCTTGCCACCATATACCCCAGATGTCAGAGGAGAAGGTGTAGGAAATGTTTGGCCAACTAGCTTTCAGTCTTGCTTTGGTCCTACACTTTCTTTCTATGTCCATATTCCTCCCTTTTGGAATAAGAATATTTACTCAATGTCATTGTATATTGGATATATTTAATTTTCTTTTAATCTTTATAAGGGTTCACAGCCAAGGGTTTGCCTTGCGTCTCAGAGGAGACATTAGATTTAGATTTTTAGGAAATGATGGAATTGTTAAAGACGATGGGGACTCTTGGAGGTGGACTAAATGTGTTTTTTCAGTGTGAAATTGACATGAGCTTTTGGGGTTCAGGGACAGGATGTGATGGTTTTGTATACGAGGTGACCCCCAAAACTCCTGTTAGTACAGGAGGTGAAATTATCAGAGTATGAGAGCTGTAACCTAATCAATTCATATTTGATTAGACTAATTGGGTGGAGGCAGGCCGACGTGGCTGGATGAGGTTGCTCACTGGGGGCATGCCCTGAAAGGCATCCTCCTCTTCTCTCTCTGCTTCCTGACTGCCATGAACTGAGCAGCTATCCTCCACCAGGCCCTTCTGCCATGAAGTTCTGCTTCACTTCCAGCCCAGAGCAATGGAGTCCACTAGCCATGGACAGAAAACTCTGAAATCTTGACCCCCCAAATTAACTTTTCCTCTTCTAATCTGGTCACAGTGACAAGAAGCTAACACACTAATACAGGACAAAAAGCTTACATACCATGTAATTTCCCATAGACCGTATTCCTTAAGGATTTCTCTTGAACTCCACCTTAGATAGGTCAACCTTGGAGCAAGTTAGCTTCCGGTCTCTGATTGAGTTTAGACAGTGAATGATGCTAAGAGCTGATGGTTCTTTTATTTGGTGTCTCCCTTTGATAAGTGTAACATGTAGGTAAGCAGAGAACACAGGAAATATCCTAATGCCAGGCAAGCTTGTCCTGGGTCTCAGGATGCTTAGATTTGGAACCATTCTTTTGCTCAGAATTCTATTTTTTATGAAAAACTTCTTTATACCTGAGTGCCTGCTGATTGTTTTCCTTCGTACCCAGTGTCCACTAATTGTTTTCAATTCAAGTTTTAGGAGTTTTTATGAAATGCCATGCTTTTAAAAGGGAAATTCTCTTCATTGTTAGATGAGAACAGTACATTTAATTTAAAAGCAAAATCTTGTCATTTGTGTTAGACCCTGAAGACCATTAAGAGGGGAGAAAATGGTGGCTTAGGACAAATAATCATGCAGATTCTCTCACAAGGTGGGTTTTTTTGTTGACTGGCTGGCTCATTTATTGAGTACCTATACTTAAAGTACTAGTCAGTAAATGAGGATATGAAAAGAGTTGGACTTGGGTTTAGTCTCCAGGGAGCTTATTGTTTAGTACAGCAGTTGAGGCATAGATGTAAATGGCTATCTTACATGACAGGTCATAGCAAAAACCAGTGACACAGGTGTAAAGTCCATGGGATTATAGAGAATGAGTTAAAGGCTCTTTGTTGGGGAAAACCAGCATGGATCATGGAAGATATGGCCCTTGAAGAATAGATAGAAAAGGTGTGAATGGCATTACATGGACAAAATGTGAAAAGCAAGGATTCATGTTTTTATTTTGCTGAAGTATAGAATGCTTGACAAAGGGAGAAGGAAGAAGGAAGAGGAGGAAAAGGAAAAAATCAGGAAAAAGGAAGAAGGAAGAAGACACCTGACATTTAAATACATGGAACCAGAACTAGTAGATTTGAGTCACCTCAAAGCCTGTTCTATTTTTGTCCTTCCAGTTATATAAGAAAATAAGTTCCCTTCTGTTCAGCCCACTTTAAGTTGAAGTTTTGGTTACTTCTTACAGAAATTACCCCAAGTGAAGGTAAAATTTTATTGGCAAGAAAGGTTGAAGCCAGACTGTTGAGAAATTGAGACAATACTTCAAAGACATGTGGAGCCATATCAGATTTTTCAGCTAAAGAGTGAAGTGACTAAAACTTCAGGGAGCTTAATCAGGCAGATGCATGAAGTTAGTGATTTGAATGGACTAACTGGGAGGTAACTGTAGGCAAGTGGAGCATGGCTGGAGGAAGTAGGTCATTGGAGGCATGTTTTTGGAATTTTTATTTCATCCTCACTCTTTCTCTCTGCTTCTCAGTTACTATGAATTAAACATCTTTTCTCTACCACATCCTTCAACCATGTTGTTCTGCCTCACCTTAGGCTCAGAGCAATGGAGTAGGCCAACCTGGACTGAGACCTCTCCACCTGGGAGCCCCAAACAAATTTTTTCCTCCTCTAAATTATTATTATTATTTTGGTCAAGTACTTTATTCACAGTGAAGAAAAGCTTATATAAAAATTGGTATCATGAATGAGGTTGTTGCTGTGACTAACCTGAGCATGTGGTTTATAAGTCTTTGGAACTGGTTTGTGGGAGAAATGTAGAAAAGTGGGAGATACGTTCCAGAAAAACTTTAAAATATTGTAAGCAGAGCTGAATAGATTATTTTTTTTAGGGGGGGGGGACTTAGAAGACCAAAACGCTGATAGAATGCAGATAGTAAAGATTGTTCTCATGAGGCTTTAAAGGAATACTGGGGCTCTCTTGGGAATTGGACTAGAGGCCATTCATATTATGTCAAAGAATTTGTCTACATTTTGCCCACATCCTGAAACTTTGTATGAGGCCAAACTTAAAATCGATATAGTAATTAATCTGGTGGAGAAAATTTCAAGGCATTCAGGCAGTAGCATGGGCATCGCTGACACATTTTAGTCAGATTTATTGTGAAAAAAATCAGGAGCAAAAACCAGAGAGAAACCTTTTTAACAACTTGCAGTTTGGCCAGAGAAGAAGCACATGTAAAATTGGGGCCAAGAAAGTTGTAGTTACCAAAGAGATTTCTGCCACCGAAGAGAAGCCAAGTACTTTGCACAAAGGACAATAGAGAAGATGGCTTGAGGGCATCTCAGAAATTTGTAAGACCACACACATTGCAGGGATAAGGGTATAAAAGTAAAAACTCATTTAAGAGAACTTGGGGCATGCTAGGAGCCACAGCAAAAGTATTACATTCATATGGAAATTGGACTCCTGCTGTTCACCTTGGCCTGTTACGGAACTCAAGTTACGGGGACTCCCGGAGAGTTCCCATTGGTTGGGGAAGGATGGTAGGAGGGTTTTCCGGGGGAAGTGCGGGCCCCCGGTTCCGGTAGACACACGTGTGTGGACCGGCTCGCTAGCGGGACGCACAGGGACCACTGGCGGCTTTTTTAAAAATAAAACTTTGTTTCTACTTGAACTGCTTGTGTTTTTGTGCCCAGCCGGGTTGCGACATCGCAAGCCGGCGCGGGCTAACAGCAGCAGCGTGAGCACCTAGGTGCCCAGCAGGAAGGCGGTGAGGCTAAGGCACGCCTCAGAGCCCAGCAGCCGCGCAGCCTGCGGCAGGGGCATCCTGTTTTACTAGAGAGGCTATAGAGTTGTTTCCCCAGACTTCATTTTATCACACTCAGCTGCTAGGCATTCAGAGAGGCTGCTGCAGCCATAAGTTCAAGGAGGTCTGGCTACTTCTTAAGCTGGTGGCAGACTTTGACATCATCCATGTGGTGCTGGTACTACAAAAAAGCAGGATGCTAGAGTGAGGGGATCGTGGAGGTTTCCACTGAGATTTCAAAGGCCTAGAAGGCCAGGAAAAGTATAGCAGGGTTCAATTTCCCATAAACAGCACATGAAAAGGTGATGCATAAAGATAAAAACAAAACAAAAGCCAAGGCTAAAGTGAAGTCCCCAGGATTAAGAGATGCCAGTAACTTGAGACATCTGCCAAAGAAAGCTGCTGGCTGTGGACAGAGCCTAAAAGAGAGGCCGTGTGGGCCTAAGCCCTTTAGAGGTCACATCTCACTGCCATGTGCCTCAGATGCTGGTTGTGGAGCTACAGACCTAACATTTGCTCAGCTGGATTTTGGTCTGACTTTAGCCCCATCCCTTCTTTCTATGTTCCCATTTCCCCTTTTTGGAATGGAAATGTTTGCTTTGTGCTACTAGATATTCAAAGGTTTATAACTTGCTTTTAATACTTACATGGATTCATAATCAAGAATTTACCTTGAGGCTCAGAGGAGACTTTGGACTTGGACTTTGGGAACAATGCTAGAACTGTTGACTATGGGGCTATTAGAGATGGACTGAATGCACTGTAAGATGGGCATGAGCTTCTGGGGGCCAGGGAAAGAATATTGTGGCTTAGATGTAAACTGTTTCCCCAAAGCTGCTTTAATGCAGGAGGTAAAGTGATTAGATTATGAGAGCTGTAACCTACTAGTGGATTAAAATATTTCCTGGACTAAGAGTTTAAGTGGACAAACTGGGTGGTGATTATAGGCAGAAGGAGTATGACTAGGTAAAGTAGATCACTGGAGGCATGTCTTTGGGGTTTATATTTTATGTCCATTGTCTCTCTTGATCTCTGTTTCCTGACTACCAGGAGCTAGATAGCTCTCCTGCACCATATCCTTCCACCGTGTTCTGTCTTACCTCAGGCCCCAGATAATAAAATAAGTTGAACCTCGACTGATATCTCTAAAATTGTAAACCCTAAATGATCTTTCTTTCCTTTAAGTCGTTCTTGTCGAGTATTTTAGTCACAGTGACAAAAAGCTGACAAACACACAAACACTCGTGACATAATAGGAGATGTAAACACATAGTAAACACTAATAAATTTATTTGTGTTTGTAGTTGCAACCTATTTTAATTACTGAGATTCTTGAGATGAGGACATTGAACATCTGTTCCCTTAGGAGACACAAGGTCTATTGTGTCTATGGCCTATCTAGGTTGTGATTTTCTTTCTGTCTCAGATTCCAACTTGGTAGGCATTGAGGAAACAAACATTCCATATCTGGTTTTAAAAGGGCAAATGCAGAAATAGGCAATAATAAAGATCCTTTTTGGAGTAGTTAAAACTCAGAAGTCCTTGATCTTTAATTTGTTCTTGAATCACAGGTATAACATGAGAGAAAGAATTCCTTGAGATTAAAGAACAGAATTGAATGAACTGAAGTTGGGAAATTGTAAAGAATGACAATTCAAAAGAGAAATGTTGAGTTTTGATAGTATCTGTGTATATTCTCTGTGGTTTGTGTTGAAAACTAAGACGATACCTTCCCTTAGGTTTGTTTTAATTGAATTTTAACCTAACAAAGTGTAAAATAACATTTTCTATTCAAATACGAGAAGGCCTAGGGTTGTGATGTTTTCTGCCTGGGCCCTTTGGGAATTTCCCCAACAATGTTTATGTCTAGGCCTGTCCCTAGCATCAAAGACCTACGTTTATCCAGTCTTGCATTATATAACTTCTTGTTTTGAAATAATTTTACACTTACAGAAAAATGATAAAATGGTGATAACAGTTCCTATATTTTTTCACCGATTTTTTCCCTAGTATTAATATCTCAATAACCATAAAACAATTATAAAAACTAAGGAATTAATATTAGAAAAATGCTATTATGCTAAACTGTTGATTTTTATTTGGATTTCCCCGGTTTCTCCACAAGTGTCCTTTAGTTGTTCCAGGAGCCAGTTCCAACATTACCCTTGGTTGTTATATGTCACTTCAGTCTCTGTCCATTTGTGAATGTTCCCTGACTTTTCCTCATCTTTTGTGACCTTGACACTCTTGAAGAGCACTGGTTAGGTATTCAGTACTGGTTAGGTATTTTAGAGACCATGTCTCAGTTTGGGTTTGTGTGATGTCTTCCCATACTTTGACTAAAGTCCTGCCTGTTGGACAAGAATGCCCTAGAAGTGACATGTGCTTCTTATGCCAGGCATTCAGTCAGGGACCCATGATGTTGATGTGGCTCATTGCTGGTGACCTTCTCCTTGATAACTTCATTATTAAGGTGCTGCCCATCAAGCTTGTCCACTGTAAAGTTACTGTGTTTCCCTTGGCTATAAATACGGGAGAGATACTTTGATGTGAAAGTATTTTCTCTCTCTTCTGAGCATTTATAGGTAAATCTCTGGCATTCATGCTCCTTTGAGCATCCATAGGTAAATCTTGCCAATGTACTGATCACTCCTGAGGTATTCTGATGGTCATTTTCTATTTTCCTCACTCCTTCTGCATTGTTTATTTTCTTGTCTGCTGATGGGAATTGAACCCAGGGCTTGGTGCTTACTAAGTATGTGCCCTACCACTAAGTCTCTACATTATTTTTTAAAAATTAAAAACTAGATGGACACTATCTTTTTACTTATTTATTTTGATGTGGTGCTGAGGATTGAACCCAGTGCCTCATATGTGCTAGGCAAGTGCTCTATCACTGAGCTACAACCCCAGCCCAAAGTCCCTACATTATTAATTGGAATTCTTCTGCCAGGGACAGTCCTGATTTTTGATAATAATTGCTTGACAAAAAATTTTATTGTCTTCCCAAGGAGCATTTGTACTTTAAAAAGGACTCTTCCATGAATTTTTTTTTGGTTGATTAAAAATGCAATACGTATCCAATAACAAAAGGCCCAAATTAATAGAGGTTTAAAAACATCTATAATCTTGATAGGCATCTTCATATCTTAGAATCTATCTTTGCACATATGTTTCTATGCATTTATATACACTTATAAACAAAAAGCAGATCGTGATATGCATGCTAGTTTGTAAACCTCTCTGTTCCCTTAGCAATGTATTATGAGCAGCTTTCTATGCAAAGATCTATTTCCATAACATTGTTATTAAGGCCCAGTAGCCATTTCATGGTGGTGTCATGATTTGTTTGGTGAATCACTTATTTTGGCCTTTTGTCTTTACAGTAGTGTTATGACCAAACTTGGGCCATCATCTTATGTATACAAAATGATAGGGATCAAGAACAGCAATGATATTTATCACATTTTCACATCTTGCTGGGCTTACTGCTACATATTCACATGCTCAATCTCCTTTTATCCTCATGACAGTCTTGTGAGGTGGACAGTACTGTTATACCCACTCACACACAAAAAACATTAACATTCATTTTCAGTAACTTGTGCAGTTTTATTCAACTAATGGGTGGAATCCAGACATGCAACTAGATTCTTTTGTTGTTAAGGACTGGCTCTTAACCACTAGGCTATGTTGATTTTTTTAATTACTGCCTTAAGCAAATCCTTAAAACTGGAATCTCTGAAAAAAAGACATCTTAGTCTGTTTTGTGTCACTATAACAAAATACCTGTGTCTGGGTCCTTTATAAAGTAGAGGCTTACTTCATTCACAGTTTTGTAGGTTGAAAGTTCAAGAGCAGCCTGCCCCATCTGGTTGGTCTCTGTTAACTGCCTTTTGGTGGTATCATAATGTGATGGATGACGTCACACGAAGGGAGCATGTGAGAGGAACCACATGGCAAGATAGGGATGAGGTTGGCTCTTTTATAACAGCTCACTTAGGGGGGGGCCACTAATCTACTCCTATAAGATCTAACCCAGCTGGTTTTGTTGGCACATGCCTGTAATCCCAGAGGTTTGGGACGCTGAGGCAGGAGGATCTCAAGTTCAAAGCCAGCCTCAGCAATCTCAAGGCGCTAAGCAACTCAGTGAGACCCTGTCTCTGAATAGAATATAAAATAGCCCTGGGGAATGTGGTTCAGTGGTTGAGGAGGGCCCTGAGTTCAATCCTCAGTACAAAAACACACAACAAAACTAAACAAAAAACCCTAACCTACTCAGAAAGACCAGCATTAATCACTGTACTAGAGAGGTCAAGGCCCAATCACCTCCCATCAGGCCCCACCTCTTTTAATACCATTATACTGGGGACCGAGCTTCCTGCACATGAATCTTGGGGGGACAAACCATATCCAAACCATAGCAGAAGATATGCACATTTGAAGACTTTTGGAAACACATACAACTACCTTCCAGAAAAGCAGATCATTCTACTCCCAATGTTGGGTGGGAGATATGTGTGCTGGTTTCCTGAACAAATTCTCATCCTGAGTATTCTAATTCTAGAAACGTCTTACTGTTAAGGAAAGTATTTAAAAGGGATTTATTTATTTATTTTTCCTTACATAGAGGAAAAGCTGGTGTGGCTCTTTTTGGCTTCCAAATTTTACTTGGCTCCCTGATACAGAATTCCTAATCTGTAGGGAGTGGAGCAGCTGAAGAAGTGGATGGCTGAAGGATTAGAAACACCTGTCTGCTGGCGGCCTGTGCTCCGCTGCATCCCACTGCCATGGCTCTGGGACAGCACCTCAGGGAGCAGCCTCTGTTCCCACCCAGGCCTCCTTGAAAGGAGGGACCCCCGACCCCGCTTGGGGAGGAGAGAATAAACAAAAGCCTAGGGATTGTTTGACTGTTTGGATCACAGTCAGAGGTGCAAAACTTGTAATCTTTATCTTCTTACAGTAAATGTAACTTCTTACTCAGCAGAAAGTTTTGAATTTAGTCATTTCCAGGTAAAGGCAATCATCTTCTGAATTTTCTCAGCAAGTTCAGGTTTATTCAGTCACATTCACGTAAAAATCCCTCCCCACAAGATCTTCTGCTTCCTCCCCCAGCTCCACCCTGGGGTGTATTCTAATCTCTTAGATGTGTGTGCCACTGCCTGCTTGTCCTCAGAGGACCTCTTCCTTTTGACCTTTCCCTTGCACTCTAGACTTACCCCCCAATGGCCACCTGCACTGGCTATAGGGCAGTGCTGGGCTTTCCAGGGCTCGGGGGGCAGAAAACCTGCTCAAATGCAGTCTTCTTAGGCTCATGTGCCCTGTGAACCAAGCCTCCTACCTCCCCACATGTGAGGGTCTCCAATAGTAATGCTTCCCTGTCCTCTTAGGAGCCCAAGGCAACTCTTCTTTATAAATACATTTACAAGTCAGGGAAAAAATACTTTCTCTCATTACATGTTCTGATTTCGAGTCAGAAAAATCTGTTTATTCCACCTACAACTGACTTTGAAATACAGGCGGCGGCGGGGGTGGGGGTGGGGGCGTTTGGAGAGATATTGTTTCAAAGATTCAATGAATAGATTCTTATCGAGCCCGTTTACCCATAAATGCAACTGCACATTTCTCTTGCCTGGACTCATGTCATCTGTATAAATGTTCGTTTTGATATATGAACACAGCCTTGGCATTCGTGGATTTAACATTCCTGGTTTCAACTGTTTGCAGATGACCTAGAAGATTTATGATGTGTAGCAATTTGTTCGTCCGCTCAGGCACAGATCTGAATCACACGGAGTCTGGATGTAGGGCCTGGACATCACTTAGCTGGTGTGTGCACTTAGCTAGCTGCCCAACCTCCCTGCTGTGTAAGTTCTCTATATTTCTCTTTCTCTTTACATTTCCATTATTTTCATTAAGCATCTGATTATAATGCTTTAGTTCGTTTCACTGCATTTAATGAGAGAAATTCTAATATGTGCTATGGTAGAATTCATGAAGTGGGCTTTGACATGTACCCAGTGTATCCCTTGGAGATACATCTAGGGTCTGCACTTCATGGCTCTTCTCCACAACCCACCCTCCCCGCCAAAGAATGAGGGTGTGCATGCTGAAGTGGTACACTGAGCAGCTGGGAGTGACCAGAGATCACCCAACTCTCTTAGTGCCAGGTGAGTATTTGGGATGGCAATATTGCTGTCTAGGCTTCTTCCCTCTGAAGGCAATATCATGACTGCACGCCTGGGCAGGAAGGGAATAGGCGGGTTACTGACAGAGTTCAGCCAACCAGGAGCATCCTGCAGCCAGTGCCCAAGGCCAGCTGTGCCATTTACTGAGGCTTCCTATGTAGCTCTTGTCCTGCCTCCTGGAATCACAAGGGAGCTTGTTAGAAGATAGAAATGTCTGAGTGTCATTAAATCAGGATCTTGGAGGGTGAGGTATGGACTTTACTATTATTCAAATTATCCCGAGGGATTGTAAGGGACTGAGAATCTCTAGGCCAGCATAGTGGTTTTTCTTGGCCCTGAAGGGATGGGTGCCATGGCCTGTGTGATGCTCCAGGTCAGGGGCACTTCACAACCATGCCACACTGCAGAGGACGCAGGTGTGAGGGTGCCTTTATAGTGGGTGTCAACTTAGCTGCCTGTCCCTTCTCCATGATGCTAATCTCTATTTATCCTTTAATCCTCAGCCTAAGTATCTTCTTCTCTGAGAAGACTTTGCAATGGGCTTCCCTCCCAGCCCACCATGACACCCCAAGTTCTAGCTGGTTAGGCTGTTCTTTGTCCCCCAACCCCCTTGGACACATTGCTGCTTGTCTATGGACCTTATTGGACTGAAGTTTTCATCTCCTCTAGCTCTTCACGTGGTACTTGGCACATGTATGCATGGGCCCCCACACACGTCCACATGCACCCATGCAGTGGCTATGTGAATGGATTAAATTTGGATTATTTTAAAGTCAAAGGCCTTGGAGGATGTATTGGGCAAAAGTAAAACATGGGCTACTCAAAAGTTAAATGAAGGCCAGTGCGTAGTAGTGCACACCTGTGATTCTAGCAACTCAGAAACTGAGGCAGGAGGATTCCAAATTTGAGGCCAGCCTGGGCAACTTTTGAGATTCTATCTCAAAATAAAAAAAATAAAAAGGGCTGGGGTTGGGCTGGGGTTGTAGCTCAGCAGTAGAGTGCTTGCCTTGCATGTACCATAGTCTGGGTTTGATCCCTAGCACTGCAAAAAAAGAAAAAGTTAATGAAGATGTTTACTTAGATAAATGAAGAGGAGAAAGTACATTAATTTTTCTTGGAGTAGAGCCTGTTACTCTTTGTGTAAATTTACCAGGGCAGGGGCGTCAGAACAAGGGGTTCTCAGGTTTAGAAGCACACTGGTATCAACAGTATACAGATACTGAGGCCTGAATCCCACCCCCAGGTTGATTGGCATCCAGGTGATTCCAATGAAGAGCAAAGTTGATGTGCCACTCATCCAGCCTTGACTCAAAGGAACCACGTGTGGACCTACAATCCCGAGTCTGTCTCTGAGATCCTGCTTTGGCACTACTGAGGACAAGCTCCTGTGCCTTTCAGCCAACTTCCCCAGATATTTTGATGGGGGTGCTTCTCCAGCGAGGCTTTGAAAATCCCTGACATAAGCGACTGGATCTGAAGCCTCCTTCCACAGAGCACATGGAGGTCTGAATTCATTTTTGTTTGTCACCCAGGCTCAGCTTTTCACTTTGCACAACCCGAATAGCTCAGCAGCTTTACACTTAATGATGCATGTCATACCCGTATAGTTTCTACCCATTATTCAATATTTGTTATTTTTAATCATATTTTTATCTTTCTCCTACTGAACTGCAGATCTCTCTGGGGCTGGGAGTATTCATTTTATTTTTACCCGTTTATAATACTTGGCACGATGCCTTGCAAATAATAGGTGCTTAATAAATGTTTGTAGAATGAAAGAAACACAAAAAAGCAATTAAGTATTGTTCTGAATCAGCAGCTTGCCTAACTCAATTTAAAACAAAACTCGGTCGAGAGAGGAGTATGGCAATATGGCATTAGTGTGAACGCATTATCAATTTCTAAAATTTTTGGTTAAAAGGAGAAACTTTAAAAAATGTTTTGAAACAGTTCCTGTTTTATTTTTTTTTAATTTTAATTGCCAAATCATTTTCTTTTTTCCTTTCCCCTAAATATTTAAACTAGTTGCTCTCTCTGGAGAATATAATTACTGAAGAACATCAATAAGCTCAGGACACAGGTGTGTTTGGCTAGCACTCTTCTCAGTGGTCTCATTTGGGCTCTGGAAAGCACACTGTGAAACCAGCAGGACAGGCTGCGTGCCCATTGTCATCCTCCCAGCTTTTCAGTCAAGGTGTCATTTGTCATTTCCAGGTCCTTACATGGGGATAGAAGCTCTCCAGGCAGGACAATTTGGGGATGGGGGCTGTTGTCTTCTCCCCACTTTGCACAGGAGGGAGGGGACTTCTGTCTGCTTCCTGTCCTCAGATGGGTGCTGAGTTTACTGATAAAGGATGCAACACACACCCCTTTCTCCATATGTATAAAGAAAGGGGTCAGCAAACTCTGTACAGGGTCAAATAACAAATGCTTTAGATGTTGAAGAGCATAAGGTCTGTGTTGCCACTACCCAGCTCTGTCACTGTGGCAAAGCAACCACAGGTAATACATAAGCAAATGGTCTCAGGCATTCCAATAAAACTTTGCTTATGACTGGAAATTTTAATTTCATGCAATTTTAATGTGACACAAAATATAATTCTTTTGATTTTCCAACCGTTTAAAACAGCTCAAAGGCCAAATAAAAAGAGGCAGCAGACTGGATTTAGCCTGTGGTCTACAGTGTACGAATCCCTTTAATGGTGCCTTTAAAACAGAGAGAAATCAAGAAGATGGAATGAAAAATTTTTTTTTCCATAAAGTGTAATAGAGCATTGTCTACAGACCCATAAACATGGTGTTCAGCATGGAAAGAGTCTTAGGAATCTGGAGACACATTGGTTTGACCATTTTTATCTGAAAATAGCTCCTGAACTATGTTTAGTGTCTGAAGATTTTAGAATATAATGTGGGGTACATTCCACTGTACACGCCAATCAAATATAAATGCTCTGAGCCCCCACCCATTTGACTGGTTGAAGGTTTAATCTCTGACAGCTCTTTGGGATCACACTGGGTTTATTAGGTATTGATGGGGCACAATGGAGGAAATGTCCATTTCTAGGCCACAGAGTCACCTGTTGCCATTATTATCACTTGTTCTACTTAGTGCCGGCATTGAGGTAGATCCCCTGGCCATATAAGGAGTTCAGACAGGCATTTTCCTCCCAATTGGCTGCTGTGGACCCTACCATCAATTGTGTTCCCAGCATTCCCATCAATGATCATTTTGTGGTACCTGGAGTGACATTTGAAAGAGGGGCCTGTCTGCACCATTAGTGAATTCCCTATTGGCTAAAAAATTCAAAAAATAAAAATAAATAAATAACCCCAAAGCCTTCCTATCCCAAGCCTTCTCAACTCATCTCCACCATGTTAGGTCTTGTTGATTCAGCCTCATGAGTTTCAAGCATTTTTCTTTGTCTTTAGATCTTCACCATCCCCCTGTATTCACAGATGATCCCAAAGTTTTTCTTGGGTGAAATATACCTACACCTGAGACACTGAGAAGAATAATGCTCTCCTCTTTGGGGAACTGTGAATGGGGAGCAATATGTTAGGAAAAGGAGTTGCTAATTGTATTAGTCAGCTTTTTTTTTTTTTTTTTTTTTTTGCTGTGACAAATGCCTGAGAAAATCAACTCAGAGGGGGAAAGATTTGTTTTTGCTTATGGTTTTGGAGATTTTAATTCATGGTCTGCTAGCTCCATGGCAAAACTTCACGGCAGAGGGGTGTGGCGGAGGAAGCTGTTCACCTCATGGCAGCTGCAAGCAGAGAGAGAAAGGGAGAAAAGGGCCAGGGACAAGATGTGTCCTTCAACATCACACCCCCAATGACCTACTTCCTCCCACTAGTTCCCTGCCTATAGTTTCTATGTCAATAATGGATGCCTTCAGATTATTAATCCACTCTTAGTTTCATCCATTGAAGATGTCAGAGCCCTATGATCCAATCACTTCCCAGGAGCCCCACCTTTGAATATTACTTCACTGGGGACCATGCCTTATGTTTATTAATTTTTTAAATAACAAAACACTTTTGTTTCCTTCTCCTGTACCAATCCCTGCAAGGAAATGCCCAGTTACTTCTTGGTTGACATGACCCACTCATTCCTTAGAAGTTCATTCTGATTGGAGGCAAAAGTTAGAAAGAAGTAAATTGTACAGAAATACTGAATGTACATAACTTATTTGGGAAACCATACTAGAGTCCTTCCTTAGTCTTTCCAAAGGGAATCAATTTTTTTCCTTACCACTTCTTCTTTAGAGTGTTATTTGAATTTGAAAATGTAGATTGGGATCCAGACCAAATGTGGAAGGGCCTGATAGTAAGGAATCTAGACTGTATTTTGTAAGCACTGGAGAGTTTTATGGAGAAAAGTATTACAATTCAATTTTTATAATTTTTATTTTTTAAAAATATTTTTAGTCTTAGAGAGACACAATATCTTTATTTTTTTAGTTGAAATTGGACACGAACCTTTATTTTATTTATTTATTTTTATGTGTTGCTGAGGATCAAAACCAGGGCCTTACACATGCTAGGCGAGTGATTTACTGCTGAGCCACAACCCCAGCCCTCACAATATCTTTATTTAATTAATTAATTTTTTTTTAATGTGGTGCTGAGCATCAAACCCAGTGCCTTACCCATGGGAAGGCAAGCACTCTATCACTGAGCCACAACCCCTACTAACAAATGGATTTTTATTTTGGGGAAAACTCAGGCAGCAGTGTGGAGGACAGAGCAGAGGAGAATCATCTGGAACCTGTTATTTGGCTGCTGTAACAGTTTCCACCCTCCTGGCTGAGACTCTTTATGAACATGCCTGATTGTCTTTCTCCAGGTTGTGTCTCCTCGAGAGCAGGACCATAAGCTTCAATTTTATTTCCTTCCACCTCTAGCCCCCAGAGCCTTTAGTATATTAGTTTTCACGTTTTTGACACTTAATAAATATTGACTGAATTAGATTTGTCCCAAATGAGCTCTTAGAATAAAAACACTCAAAAATAGAGAATCTCCATTTTCATAAGGTTTTTCACTGTGGTGTATTATTAGAGTGAATCACTTTAGTCAAAACAGGTCCCTTTATTTTGGCAGTAAAACTGATGACAGCCTCGGGTAAACTCATCTTCCCCTCCCCCTAATATCAACACCAGAAATGAATTCTCTGTTTTATAATATATACCTATGACAATGGAATATTAAAACCACATGCTCAAGTTATAAATATTATAAGTCACATTTTTACATGGTACTGCATAGCTACTGTGTTTTGCAACAATTTGGCATGGAATTACAAGTAGCATGCATTAAATTTCATATGCCCTTTAATTTTTTTATCTCTTCATTTGCATGCATATATTTTATAATCGTTCATTCTGGTAATAAAACCCACAGGATTTTAAATTGAACTGAAGTCCCAGATGCTTTAAAAGAATTTATGTTGCATAATTGTACTGGTTTTCCTGAAAACAAACAATAATGTATGACTTAAATATTCTACCCAGGAGAGGAGTCGAACCCTTCCTTAAAATTCTCTGGTGTCTATTGAATAACTTATTGTGAGGAAAAGATTGAGAAAACCAAAGGGAATATAAAAATATGGAGCCAAGAATGCAGAAAAGTAGTGGCTTTCTGAAGATTTCACCATCTAGAATGACATTCAAATTTCAAGTGAAAATATTTGTGAAATAGCTACAAATTTTATTTCTTACCCATGGAGGAGGAATCAGTGCCTGACACCAATGATACACTTAGGAGAGTAAAGGAGAAAAGTTGTTCTCTCAACAGAACAATCTGAATGGGGTAAAGAAAATATTTTTGACTTGGAGAAAAGTTTTTAGACTTGAATTTGTTATCTATCACTGTATAACAAATTACACTACAATTTAGCGGTTTAAGACAACAAAAAGCCACTACTTTTCTGCATTCTTGGCTCCATATATTTATTTTTTTTGGTGGATCAGGAATCTGGGAGTGGTTTAGGTAAGTGGTTCTGGCTTAAGGTTTCTCACGTTCTACTGAAACTATTTGTCAGGGCCGCAGTCTCATTTGAACACTCAACTGGGGAATGATTCTTTTCTAAGTTTACTCAAGAGGCTGTTGACAGGTTTTAGTTCCTTGATGGCTGTTGGCTGGATGTTTTAGATTTTTGCTGATTGAGTTTCTCTGTAAGTGGCCTAAGTGTCCTCATGACATGGCTCAAGACAGAGACAGGGAGAAAGGCAGACTGTGTATGATAGAAGGTTCACTTTTTTTTTTTTTCAGTGTAGTTGGACACAATACCTTTGTTTTATTTATTTGTTTTTATGTGGTGCTGATGATTAAACCCAGGGAGGGCCTGGCCTATGCCAGGCGAGTGCTCTACAGCTGAGCCACAACCCCAGCTCAGAAGGTGCACTCTTTTAATGACCTACTCTCAGAAGTGATGTGTAATTACTTTTGTCATATACAGATGATTATTCAGAGCAACCCAGGGATACTGAGGAGCACCACACCTGGATGTGAATGTGAGCAGGTGGGGATCATCAAAACCCTTCTTTGAGGCCACTTACCCCAGGGCTAGTCGTGGTGACTCAGGACAATAACCTGGAGCTTGCTTATGAAACGAGCCCTTGTTTGATGAAGGTCAGAGAAGAAGGAGGAGAAGGCTGAGCAATGAGAGGGCTCTCAGCTGTCATTTCTGCCTATCCTTGACCCAGTGCCATATTTCTACACTTTTTTCCCCCCTCTGGAATTGCCTCTGGAGAACTTCAAAATTATACAAGCAAGTACTTGTGTAGGGTTCAGAAGTCATGAGGACTGGGTTTAAAGGTATCTAGACCACTAAAATTTGGAGAAAGAGATGTTTTCTTAAATGAGTACAGAATGAACAATGAAGTTTTAATGTTTTGTCAAGGCTAGGTCCA